AGTGTCGACAGAGTACCGAATCCTCCTTTAAAAAAACCTCTTTTTCAAAGAGTCTTCAAGAAGTAAGGGAGAACTTTGAAGAATAAGCACAGATCCTCACCGGTTGGGCAACGCTTAAGAATCCCATCACAATCCCCCTCTTAAAGATATCTCTCACCTCTCCAATCATAAGGCCTCTCCCAATACTCTCCAGAGGGAACTCTCAAAAGAAATTCGTTAGTAGGAAGTTTATGGTGTTTAACTGTTTTTAGGACTCTTAAATATGATTGACATGAAAAACTTTCTAGACTGAAATTTCAATTGACCATCTTAGATCATACAATACGAATCGTACTTCATCCGTATGAATAGTTTAAAAATCCTTATATAAACCCTCGACAAACCTAATTTGTGTACTCTATCAGTCATATGTATGAACAAACTCATACTGTACGAGGCTGTTCAAAAATGAAAAAGTTTGTCAGGTATAAAATTCTGTACAAATATAATTTCATAACATTGGTCGACGTATTTACGAACTTGCATTTCATACAGTATGATCAGTTTAACCAAATCATAGTTTATTTGGTACGAAAATGGATGAGTCCATTTAATACTCTAGATGCCATTTGTATGAAAAATAATTTTTGGTGCAGTACGAACAGTTTCAAAAAAACGTGAGTTCATTTGGGATGATCTGTACGTATCCATTTTGGTACTCTAGACGTTGTGCTGTTTGGAACCAATATTCATACAATACAACAATATAAAACAAATTTTTTAAGGCATGATCCGTTCACTTCTTTCCGGAGGAACACTTAGCTCAATCATCCTGTACGATTCCAGAATCATATCGTACGAATTCCATAATCATAACCGGTAACGATTCCAGAATATATAGTACCATTTTTTTAAAATACAATTTTGACTCACTCCTCAGTGTGTGTGTTCTCGGTTTTCCAATTACATCACACTATCTTAAGACTCAAGAAAAATAAAAAAAGGTACAAAACTTCATTATAATCAACCTTAAATCTAATCTTGTATTGAACTCTTCGCATTCTGGAGAATTAATTTCCTGAATATTAGGACACACAAACAACCAATAAAATTTTCTAATATGTGTTAGGATATAATAATAATCAACACAATAATTTTTTTATATTCAATAAAAAAAGTATACATGAATAAAAGTATAAGGTTTTTAAAATTAAGTCGTAATAATCTCCCACTTTTTTATGATGATAAAATAATTATTATTTGGAGTTAACAACTTGAGATAATGTTTTCTCAAAGCTCCTTTAAGTGAATGACTGATTTAAAACAAGTGTTTCCGTGAAAATAAAAATACAAGATTAATTAAAAAGAAAAAAAACTCTAAAACAAAACACATGAAAAATACATGAATAAGCATACAACAACATTAATATAATACAACACATACTAATCAATCACAAACAATAAAAATATCAAAATATTAACTAATGACTCCCCTTTTGACAACACAAAAAGGCTTTATATCTTGAAGTGAAAAGTTTCTAGATAAATCAAAAGAAGTTGAAGAAGAAGAGATTTTAAACTAATTGCAAATACAACATTAACTTCTAATGCCTAAAAAGAAATATTTTAAATTTTAAATAAAAAACAAATCTAAGATAAAAAGTCAAACTAAATTTACTATTCATTCTTAGACAATTTTAAAATAAAAATAATTTACAAAAAGAACGAAATAATGATTAATTAGTTTTAGTTCAATAGTGAATATTATCGTCGATTATATGGATTTGTAGAAGAGATAAATGATAAAGGAAAGTTATAAGTTATCTTTTTAATTTGTGACATTATTACATTTTTAAAAATTTTATGGCACACTTTATGCATCTTTTCTATTTGGATATAATTTTAATGTCTCTTTTCAACTTTGGCGAATATTGCAACATCTTTTTCAAACTTGATGCTTTGGTGCATGTCTCTTTTTTTAAAACTTTTTAGTATTTCCAATATAATAAATCTTAACTCAAAATTTGAAATAATTAATATAAAAAAATAAATGCATTGAAAAGAAAAAAAATAAGATATCTAATTTTGCAACAATTATAAATAAGTAGTAATTTGTCTATAAGAACATAAAATTAATCTTCTAATCTACATCAGTCTAGTGTAACTTAAATTTGACTCGGAGTTTTATTAGGTAAAAATTGACCTATTTAAGTCAATTTAATAGGCCCCTTAATGCATTGAAATCATTCCAAAGGGTCCCCTTCATGCAAATATCATCCTAATTTACCTCACCTCCCTCCTATCACCCTAAATTCATCTTGGCCATTGATAAAAAACTTAGGGCCTTTAATAGAGAAAATTAGGGTTTTTCTTAGGATTTTTTTTGGCAAATCTCTCTCTCTCCAAGGCTCTCACAAGCCAAAATCTTTGTATGTGAGCTTCTCTTAAACTCTCCCCACCTTCCCCCAAGATAAAGTCACACTTTAAGACCCCGCCGGCGGCAACCTTCCAGTGGAGTAAGCTTTGATCTATCCTAATCTCATTTCGAGCGATCCATAGCTTATTAGACCCGGGGATTCAAGAGGTAAAATGTATGAGACAATCTACAAGCTCACCAAATCCAAGATCGCGAAGATGCAACGATGAGAAATTCTCTAAAAACTCTAGAACCTAGGTCATGAACATCAAGTTAAATAGCTTCCGCATTAAGCCTTTTAGAATGTGAGATTACTTAACTCCAAGATTTTATTCATGTTCTTAACCTAGGTTTAAAAAATTTTTATTTGAATTTAAATTCACTCGATTGAGAGAAATCTTTCAAAACTAATTCCTAGGGCAATTTCACGTGAAGTTCGCTAAGGTACGAAGATCTCCACCGTGATGCGTTTGATCATGGAAAAGATCTTGTCGTTCCCTGCCTCTTCTAAAAATCATGGAACCTCTCTAATGGTCCTGATCCTACATCCGGCACGAATCATATTGTCCATCTTTAAATAATGCGAGATCGGCCGGCTCCCGTGACCGCTGACATGCTTAAGTGAGTAACCCTATGGCCAATACATTCGCAATCATGCGGTAATGATTGCAAGCGGCGGCGCAAATCATTGCCCATGATTGCAAACGCGTTCGCATTTTGCGGGACAATCCAAGAGCGCCATGTGTCCATCCTGAGCGCCACCATCAGATTTTTTTATTAAAATAATATTTAATTATTTTAAAACCCATTTTAAATCTAATTTCTTTAGAAAATTAATTATAAATTATTTAAAATCAGAAATACAATATTATATAACATATTTTTTTTGAAAAAAATATTATCTTTATTTTAAAAATAAAAATAGATTAAAAATATTAATTTTATATTTTATCATTAATTATTAAAATATATAATATTTTAATTAATAATTAATTATAATGAATAAAATATAATCATTTATTATTTTTAAATAAAAAAAATTTAATTTAAATTAATAATCATTTTCTTTTTTTAATTATTCTACTTAATTAATTACCATTCATTATTAACATAAATATTATTTAAGTTAGTTCGTCTTAGAGTATTCGTGTTGGTAGGAAATATCAAGTTTAACGTCCTTAACTTTTTACGAAAATTCAGAATGCAAACAGGTGAAGGAGATGGTGTGACATTCACAAGAGACACCAAGATTTTTAATGTGAAAACCCCTAAAAAGGGGAAATCATGGGCCTAGACCTAATTTGAACGAATCAACTAAGTATTTGTTGACCTCATTTTTGTATGAGGTCACTTGATCAATCAATGACCTAAATCACTCTAATTTCTAAATCAATTCAAACTCTAGGATCCTCCTAGAATCTCAACCTTTAGATCTACCCAGATCTAGAAAATCGAAACCATTCAATTGCTAAGGCCAAGTCCTAAAAGCCTTATTTCAAGCAAATTTTCCAAATACTTTAAACCCAAATCAATGACTCTCCAAATTCAGAGTCTGGGTCAGTTGCATATTGAGGAACATGTCTCTGGAGGTAACCCTCCAAATTTGAAGCCGCATTCTGAGGTCTCTACATCAGAAAGCTTAATTAAAATCCATAGGTTGTAAACCCTTCAATATTTAC